ACTATTGCGTTGTGTCAACCTTCCTTTATATTATGTCAACTCTTTATGACATTAACCCACACTACTACTGCATTGTGTCAACCTTCCATTATATTGTGTCGATTCTTTATGATATTATCCCACACTACTATTGCATCGTGTAAACCTTCCTTTACATTATGTCAACACTTTAAGACATTTACACATTCTTGCATTTCGTTATGTTTACTGTTCATGACATTTAATTAAACAACAATTACATTGTGTTAACCTATCATTACATTATGTCAATTCTTTATGATATTAACTCACACTACTATATTATGTCGATTCACTATTACGTTATGCGAACACGGGTATCCTCGGCCTTTATATGAGCATACCGTATTTTCCGCAATCGGCAATCCTCGGCTGACTCCGCTACGCTCCATTCAAACGTTATGTGGATCCGGGCCACAATTAAAGGGTGAAGGTCAAATGCCTAAAATGTAGCACATGTAGGAAATTCATATGCCTTCCTTTCAATGATAAAAATAAAAATAGCTCACATGTTTTAGATACTTTTTGGGTATAGAATAAAAGTATAGTGTCTAAAGTTTACAATGATATGCAGCAAGGTGCATTTCAAGCAAAAATTATGCCTAGAAATATGAATTGCAAAGAGCATTCGTTTGCTTTGTTTACACTTTTTTTGCCAAGCGAGAGCTATCCTGAGGTAATGACGTCAGAAGTTAATATAACCAGGGAATTCCACATTCAACACCCCTATTTCTGGATGTGAATATTTATCTGACACATTGCTCTATCATATGGTCAAAGATATTTTGGAAGTAAAGATTTTTTAAAAAGTTACAAAGAAAATAAAACACATGTTTTTACTATATAAGTCTATATGTAAGCTAATTGTGGTCCGGGTCCTTATGAGCGAGGTACGAGTCATCCGAGGAATTCCGATTGTATTTTCCGCGTTCCGAGAGCACTAAAATTGGCGGGAGAGAAAATTGCCGTAGAAGAAATCTCAGCGATTTGGGAATGGCATCTTTAAATAAAAATTCTAAGCGACAAAGGATTGACAATCTTGAAACGTGCAAAGCCTTAACACTGCGACTGTGAATTAAAGTCACGTCGAAATTCAATGGCGTTTACTTTAATCTGATAATTAAATAAATCAAATATTATGAGTCGTGCAGCAATTTTTTTTCTTTTTATTTTGAATTGTTCTTTGTTTATTTGTTTGTTTGTTTGTTTTTTTTTTTTTTTTTGGATAAAAGTCTTAAACTTCTGATCTTACTAAGAACATTGTCATAATTTTTTTTTATCAGTCTTGAACTTTCCTTTTTTTTTAAAAGTGTAAACACATCGTATAACACACGTGCACTGGTGGGTTGGGGGGAGGGGGAAATCCCGCCCTACCATCTTTAGTGATCAAAATCTACATGTACAAAAAATTAATAAATTTATTGGTTTTACTTTGTAGGACATTGCATTAGTTTCACATTAAGTTTAGCTGAATTAAGTTGAAAACTTTTTTTTATAAAACTATAAAGCCTGAGAGCTTCTCTGCTTTCCCCCTTGGTCTCCAACCATAAACCGTCCCCCTTCAGGCTTGGACAATTTTTTTTTGTTCAAGGTTCTCATATCCGCTACTGATATGTGTTCATGCATGCTTACTAAGGCATATTCAATTGATTTAGATGAGGGATTGGTAGATTTTTTGTAATAGAATTCTGGCCCTGGAATAGTTGAAAAAATTACTAATTCCAGTGCGTGACGTATCATCTTTTTCGAAAGGGGGGGGGGGGGGCTAGCCAGAAAAAAAATATTCGCCCGAAAAAAAAAAACTTGAGAAGCCAAAAAAAAAAATTGTCTACTCCAAGCCCGAAAATCCTATTTCGGGGAGGGGGGTCCAACTTCGATCAGTCCTAATTTTTTTGTCAGATATACTATATTACCCTCAGTGGACTATACTTCAACAAAAAGTGGGGGTGGGGGCTGTACTTTCAATGAACATTACATTTTCTATTGTAAAGTTATGTTTGGGAAAAGAGGGGGGTTGATATTTTGTGCCTCTAATTCTTCCGTATCAATCAGGAACCCCCCCCCCCCCTCTTACCAGTCATAAAAACACGGTCGTCAACATTCATTTTATACCAGATATACAGCTTTGAGATAATGTAAATGTATTTTTACATCAGGAAATGCACTTTTGGAATCAACATGATAAAGAGTTAACACAATATAAAGATATTTTAAGATCACATAAGAAAGAGTTGACATAACGTAATTATATATCCACATCACGGAATTGAGTTTTGACATAATGTGATAAAGTGTTGATATAATATAAAGATATGTTCACATAATGTCATACACTTTTTACACCACGTAATAAAGCACTGACATAAAGGTAAGATGTGTTCACCTTACATCATGATGCTCTCGCCGTAAAATAAAGATAAACCCATATCATGTAATAATGCTTTGATATAATAAAAATATACACTCTCGAAAAGGAATGGATTTTTGACTTCATGTAATGATAAGTTTAATTATAAAACACAATTCACTTGACGTAATGCAATTTTGACATCTCATATTAAAGAAATGAAATGATGTAAAGAAACATTCATTTCACGTAATAAAGTTTTACCACAATGTAAACACATTATCGCTTCACATAATGAATTTTCGACTTCAAGTTATGCAGTGCTGACATAATGAAAGGGTGTATTTACTTCATGTAATGCAGCATTGGCATGATGTTAAGATATTTTTACATAATCTCATAAAGAATTGACATAACGTAAAGATATGTTCACATCACGTAATGATAAATTGACATAATAAATGCATAGTTGTATGCTATAAGGCAGTGTTGGCGTTCCATAATTGATCCTGATGCAAATTTTGATGTAAATAACACATGTTTACAGTCTTGTGAAGCAAAACGATACATTTTAAAATATTTATTGTGATATAAAAGAGTAAAAATGCCACTTACTTAATAGATTTATGGTGTTCAGGATAAATTCACACATTAAATATTAAGCATTCTTCAATTCCTCTGCTTGCAATCTGTGTCTGTTGTTGAGGAGAGTGATTTCATACCTGGAGATAACATGAACAAGAGTTAATCTTTACATGATGTAAAAATTTAACATCCTTATTATACATTCTTGGATATACAAAAAAGTAAATAATACATCTCAGTACTATGATCAAGTCTTTAAAATGTTGAGAAACTCTCAGGCCCCTTTTGTGGGAAGGAATTTCAGTTTTGCGGACAAATCTTAGTTGAGCAAATAATAAAAAGAAGAGAAAAACATATGAGTTTTAGATAATATTTATTTAAGGGAAACATTAAAGCAAAGGTAGTTTCTAATGTTCGAATAGCACATACAAGTATTATATTGATGGGGGAAGGGGGGGGGGGGGGTCCACAACATATACAGTGTACCCATTTACTGTTGAAAATGTACACTAAAAGTTGCCCCCCCCCCCTAACCGGCCCCTCCTACACAAAATACTAGTAGTATTTTTCTACAGATTGTTCTGACAATTTCCTTCCCTTTTTATTTGCTTGTCTCCAAGTTTTTTTTCCAGATAACTTGTTATACATACACCCCCCTTTTAAAACGAAACGTGCCTGTATACTTGCTAATTTTCCCTCCTTGCTCACTGGTTCCTAATGGCCTGAGTCTACAATGTTTATGAAGATAAAAGGGGCAACTTTTCAACAAGAGAACATTTTTATTCAGAATTAATAATGATGTACCGACAACGACATGATGTAAACATCATGATGCATGGTCTCATAATATACGTGTTATCTTTTTAATTTCTCTTTATAGCTGCAAAAATACATCATAGATATCCACCTTATGTAAATTATTATTGACGTGCAGGCTATAAATAATAAAATATACAATATATTAGCAATATTTACCCCAAAGTCTTCGATGAAAACACTGCAGCTAATACGACCGGAAGTCTTTCTATGCCTCCCGGTGAGGGCGCTGCGAAAACATGAAGATAATTTGGCGCGAAAATGAGTTAGCGGTCCCTCTCTTATATGTCTCTGAAATAAATATACTTGCAGTCTGACCTGGGGTTTTTTACTAATTCAAACGGTATAAAACATCCTGAACATTTGTTCCTTCTATTTTGTGACTTCGTTCTCTATACAATATATGAATGATGTATGCTAAAAGACGTCTTTCAGACCTTCCGCATTTCCTCAAATATGTGTCAACACACAATATCGTGCAGCTACACGTACGTGTAAATTTTGCTGCAGCATGTAATCTAAAACGCCGATTGTTAATAAGAATGGAATTATTCAATTATAATTTTAAATACTAAATTGATAGGCTCCATCATTGCAATAATTAATTCGATAACTTAACTATACAACTCTGTCACTACATTGTACATTTGTGTACACATAAGAAAACGTTTTGGTTTGTTTCGTTTTATTTTCGCATACGATATTCTATCATGGCTTCCATTTAAACCTTCAACCCCTAAGGAATTTAAGTTGTACGTTTTAAGAACTAAGTGGATAGTATTAATATTCCTGTATTTGGTAACAAGACTACCATTTCATTCCGAAAGAGGGGGTGGGGGGGGGGGGGGGTAATTCTCGAAAATGTTGAAAATGTTTTTGCTTGCCAGACATTTTTTCCGTGAAGAGGAAAATAAATAGTCTGTCCTTCATTTTATTGGAAATAAATATTATTTTAAAAAATGACTTGGGAAAACATGCCAACCACCCCTCTCCTTCAGAATAAAATGGTGGTCCCCTTACATGTATCTGTTTTGAATCAATAATCTCCTTTTTAGTTCCTTTTATTGAAAAACAAATTAACACTATATGTACATGCTGGAAATAATATCTTGATGGAGATTGACACCCAACACACAAAACATATGCAAGTTGAGATTTCCAAATCTTATTAGCCTTTTTCAATACCTATACAGTATAAGTAAATGATGTATATGAAAAAGTCAAAGCATAATTTATTGATCAAGAACATTTATTTCATAAACAGCTTTTCAAATTCATAGGTAGACTTTATAAGGAATACTGAGCAGGTGCAAATTATTTCCATCACTACATGTTCTTGTGGATGAAATAATTCTGAAAATACATGTATGAAAAAATCAGGATATAGGCCTACATGTATACATACCATTTATTTAGAGTAAATTGGTGTTTAAAATTAAATTAAATTCAAAACAATGTATTGAAACATGGAGCATTGAATGCATAATTAATTGAAAAATAAATTAAATGCAATTCTACTGTTATATTTTATGATTTTGCCAGGAATATTGCTTGTTTTATAATAGTGGCTAATATGGAGCATACCATTTTCCTTAAATGATGGATTAACTTGCTGCCTGAATGAATCCATAGATCCAATTCTTTGGGAATAGCTGCAACACATTATAATGCTATGAGACTACTAAATGAAATACATTGTAGAATAAAGTGACATTACACACACAAAACAAACCATGATAGACAAGATATTAAATAGAAACAACGTTGTGTTACAAAACTTTTCTGGGAAATTAAAACCTCTGACATTTACTAGACAAAGTAATTAGTATATGAAAAAAAAAATTCTTTCATTTTTACCAAAATGAAAAATAGATATAATCACACCTGCATGCTAAAAAAATGTGAAATGCTTTAGAAGTATACATACCCTGTGGAGAAATGGAAGGGATTTTTATTTATTCATCCTAAAGACTGGAACTCTTGACAGCTAGCTACAATAGTAGAAGTTTTATGTATCATATAGTTTACTTAAATCAAAAATAATGTATAAATTACAGAATTTCATTGACTTGACATGCAATCAAACTAAAAAAAAATATTTTATTTCCCCCATTAATTTAGAAATTCTATAAATTTACAAACATAGATTTAAACTGTAGGTTTTGTTTTCAACATAATGATACAGACAATATTTCATAAATATATTATGTAGCATGTTTGTGTACTGTCAGAAAGAAAACAACATAACATCTTTAGTAATCATTGTCAACTCGTTTACTGAAACAATGAAACTTTAATTTAGTGTAAATCTGTATTACTGTTGTCACAGTTGATCCCCATTATTACACATAATGTCTCAAAGAGTATAAGCGAATTGACAAGAACTCTGTACCATATATTTTAAAAAGTGTGCAACTTTGTATGTGTATGTTCAATGTTGGGACTTGGAGGGGGGGGGGCATAATATACACACAATCGCAATACACTGCATTAGGTTTTCACTGACTGTAATAATACATGTAAATGATCATGTACACACTCGCTATCGGTTTTTTCTATGATGTAAACACAAGAATATCTAGATATTTTACATACATGCGCATACATACCTGGGCTAAATGTACTGCAGAGATGGATCTAGGGAGCTGATGATGAACGTCTCAGTCTTCTATTATCTTCCGAAATAATGTCCTCAACAAAACAATTTCTTTGAATTCTCTTTGAATGGAATTAATCTGTTTAATAAATTTGATAAATAATCTTTTTTTGGAATCCAAAAGTTTGTTATAACAAATAAAATTCAGAATAACGAATTTTAAAACTTGTAAAAAATAGAATTCTCTTAATTGATATCATTTCTTTTATTTGTCAGAAGGAATAAAAATATTAACACTAATTCAACAAACTGTTATAGTGCATTCGAAAATAGTTTTCATAGGTTCTAAATGGGTTTCCGTTCCTAAAAGAAAAAATAACTCTAATTTGAATTTACTGACATCTAGCCTAATTAATAACTTATACCCTAACTGCCGCCTCTCTCATAAACTGTCTGGCAGGATCGTCCCAGATAGCAGGGACTGTTAAGACCCAGCCTATGTCAGCTTCTCTTATCCCTGCGTCTTCTCGTTCTAGAGAATGTAGTAGGTGACTCTTCAGGAATTTAATGGCTGCTGAAAACACATCTAAAGCCACCATCTCCTTTCCGTCTATAGATTTTATTTTTAAGGCTTTTGAAAGTGGTTCCTATGAGAAATGTGTACAACATCTTAAGCAATTGCAATTGAAGACATACAGTCTGCTTGTTAAAACTGTTCTATATGAAATCGCATCTTCAATATTCAAAATAAATTAAACCTAAAACTTAACAAGAGGCACAGGGGCCACATCGCTCACCTGAGCAACTGGCTAGGTAAAAGTAAAAATTAGTTCAGTATTGATTGATTGATTGTATATTGTTATACGTCCCTCTCGATAATTTTTCACTCATATGGAGACGCCACCGTATGCCAGTGAAGGGCTTCAAATTTTGACCTTTACTCGGCACCCAGGGCCATTGAGCAGTGAGGGATCTTTATCGTGCCAACGCCTGCCGCTGACACGGAACTTCGGTTTTTAAGGTCTCGTCCGAAGGACCCGCAATTAACTTTCACTTCAAAGTGTCGAGCGCATAGCTCATTATGTTTTAATTGATTAATATTTTAAAGTCTCATTAAATTGATTACGAACTGCTCTCATAGAGCCGTTGTCATGCATTTTTTTACATAAATGTACTACAATCACAGGCACACACGCTCGAAAATATCAGGAATTCAACCATATCCGCTTAACTATCAATAACATTATGTAGCTATTGTCTCTACTATTTTGAAAAATGCTGGGAGCAAGTTGTGCACTGTTAGTTATTTTTTCTGTAATTTAACGATATTTCAATGCGTATAATGTAAATACACGAGGTTTTTTAAGAGACGGCTACTTGTGTATAATTCCCGTGCATAGGAAAGCTGCTCCTAGCACTTTTTGTGTTAGAAATTTGACTTAAGGTAAGTCACTCCTCAGCTTTTTAGAAAAGTTCACGCAGAAGCTTTTACTTCAAAACTACTTATCAAAATTCAATTTTTATAACATATTTATATTCAACAAAGTAAATTTTTTAACATTCAATGAAAAAACTGCTCAAAAATCAACAAAGAAACAAGATTTATTAGGGACTATTTCTTTTGGTGGAAGGATATTTAGCAGAAAATTCTGCAAATCTGCACATTTATAAAATTTAATGTAATGGAAATTTAGCCTCACATACTTTTACTTGGAGAATATTTTCCGTTTTGATATTGCTAAAAAAATTTGTTATAGGTCTTAATTTATATTTTTAGACTAAGTTTTACACATTCCCTCAACAAACTTTCCCAAAAAATGAAAATATATGAAAGAAGTCAAGGTCAAATTTACACCATTTTTAGCCTGAAAATCACATATTTTGACAAATATTTCAAAATTAACATCACTGACCCCACCTTTTTCTTTCATTATTTTAAACTACTCAATACTTGTGACTGATCAGCACTCAAGTCGTAAAAAGTTTGATATAAGAAAAATTTTTTATTGCCTATTAAGTTATTTAATACCCCAAATATGTTATTTTTTAGTGCGAAAAGGTCAAACAATAATTTACGCGCATTAATTTGCATGATTTATTTAATGTTAAATATTATTCAAACTATTTTACGTAAAATAAGATTATATTTATTGCCATGCTTACATCTAATCAAATATAATAAGGGTTAAAGTAATTAACCAAAGAGATGAAATTTAAGTGCAAAAAGGTCAACTTAAATGTACCGTAGATCAGTAGGATGCACACTGACCCCCTATTTTCTTTGCGATTTTGAGTTACACTTTATGAGTACTTATCCAAAATATACTTCTCAAAAAATCCTTGATATAACAAACCTGAGGAGTGACTTACCTTAAAGAAAACACAATCAATTTCTTGGTGAAAAATTATCCATTTATTGTTGAACTTTTACGAATGTTGTATCCGTACATATTTTTTTCTCATTTTAACGATGTCTCGTGACATACAGCTGATGACGTAAAGTCGCTTTGGCCGAACTCGGTTGAGACCCAATGCATACATTTGCATTAGTACAATTCCCATTAAATTTAAACTCATGCTAATAATTAAGATATCAAAATTTGATTGATTTTCTCGGGATATTTTAAGGCATATTTCCTATAGGCGTCCTTAACCTAGCTACGAAAGGATTCTTCTACACAAGTTTTTATTTTTCCTGGCCCAGTTAATCTTGAGAAGATTTTTTAAAAATTTCCTATGTATTCCAATGTTAAACTTGATACCCCACTGTGGCCAAAACATACACCCGGGGGTCATTATTTAAATAAATTTGAATCTACACTAGGATGAGGATGATTCAACAAGAGTTTCCTCTTTCTTGGCCCAGTACTTTTTAAAAAGAAGATTTTTCTAAAATGCCATTATTTTTCACAAATTCATAATTTTCTCCCTTTGAAAATGGCGTGGCCCTTCATTTGATCAAATTTGAATTTCCTTAATCCAAGGATACTTTTTGGCACGTTTGTTTGAAATCGGTCCAGTGGTTCTTGTACAATGTATAAAGTTAACGACGACAGCAACTCCAACACCAACAACAATGACAACGACAGACAACGGACAAATTTTGTTCAGAAAAGCTCACTTGAGCCTCCGGCTCAGGTGAGCTAAAAATTCTAACCCCTAAAATTTCAACCAATTTCAACTTTTCCTTTCGTCAAATATTTCTAATTTTATTTATCTTTCTGCATTTAATTGAAAAAGGATTAAATCTCAGAATTGATTAAAAAAAAAAAAAAAAAAAAAAAAAATAAAAAAAAACAAGGACATTAAAAAGTAGAAATGAGCTAAAGGTTTTTCCTTTAACAGGGTGGTCTTGTGGAATTAAAGAATTACGTCAATATAAACTGAGAAATTCCCGGCCCCTTAATAACAATCCTGACTTAAAATATCTTTACATGTTTTACTGACTAAGAGAAGAACTTGCTTCTCTGTTAAAGAGTGACATCCTGAACCTCTTGAAGTAATACCACTCCTGTTGTTCCTCTTCCTCTGACAGTTCTGAATATTTATCCTCCGCTTCGTAACCAAACGAGTCGAACACTTTGTCTTTACTGAACAGAACACAGGTTGGGGTCTTTAGGGTCAAGAGACCCCCGGAACCTGATGTCCAGTTGTTTGACCTGATCTTCAAAGGGTCGTTCTCGTATTCATGTTTATAGGAAAATGCAAAGCCGCTGTAGGTGGAACCTAAGTCAATGGCTGCCACCAGCAGTTTATCGGTAGAGGGCATGTTCTCTGTGTCCCAAGTCTGAAAGCGTAAAATACATCTATTGAGAGGATTTTTTGACCAAGAATCGATTGTCAAGTGATTACAGTAAATAATGAATGAAGAGAAGAAAGAAACCACAAATTAACATAGTATCAATTTCTTGGTGTACAAATGATGTGATCATTGTGCTAATATAATGTGGGCACTTGACATCACTTACTTGTGCCTCCAGCATCTCTTTTGTTGAAATCTTTGGTTTCTTCACTTCGTAGCCACGAAAAAGATCCCTCCCTGCTCAATGGCCCTGAGTGCCGAGTATAGGACAAAATTTGCAGCTCTCCATCGGCAAGTGGTGGCGTCTCCATATGAGTGAAAAATTCTCGAGAGATACGTTAAACAATATACAATCAATCGATCAATCTTTTCAGTTGTTCGATTACTTGGATTAAAGTTGACTGTAGAACCTTTAGTTCGCAATGCGAGAACAATAAGTGACAGAGTTGTGTCCAAACAGCACTGTCCCTTTGAGGACCGTGTGAAAATGCGAAAACATATGTCTTTAAAACTGACTTAATTTGATGACATATATGTTTCTTCATATTTCAGAATATTTTTTTTCTTTTCAGCTATTCGTATGCTTGGATAAAAGTTGGCTGTAGTTTTAGTTTTATTTGGCAATGCGAGAAGAAATGGTGACGGGTCTGTGTCCAAACATCACTGCCCCTTTGAGAACTGCAAGCCCTTGATCGGGGGGAAAATAACCCTCATATTTGGAAAAGACTGCTTGGTCATGTCATGTAGAATTGGTGACTCAGAAAAAATCTCCCACCACTATAACATTGCTGGTTCCTGAGATTTCCGGTTTCTTCATTAGGTCTTTAACATGATCCACAATTTGATCTCCTGCCACTTCAAACAAGCTCTTTATCACTTCTGCTACGACTCTGATTTTGTCCCCTACCCAAGTCATTTTTCCCGAGAATTTGGTATTCTCTATTGCCTTTTGGATATCCTCTCCCGTGTCCTCTTCGAAAGTCTCCATCAGAGAAATTGGAATTTTCAAGGTGACCTTGCCCTTTGTGTTAGCAGTAATAGCACGCTTATTGATTTCGAATTCTCTGAACATGTCCTCATAATCAGCTCCATATGAGCGGGAAAACTCAAGGATGATGGATGCTCCTACTTTTTCGATCAACATCTGTTTGAAGGCCTCGTCTATCCGAGTCCCTCCCCACGCCCCTGCTTTAGCTTTGTACAGCACCTTTAGCCTAAGATCGGGTTGTACTTCATAAACGGTGACATCTACTATTCTTCCTTTAAAATACAGAAGTGTTTTAAAACTGCCAAATATATCTCATCAAATTTGAATAAGAAGTTTATTTATTGCCCATTTCCATTTTAAAATATTTTTACGAAGGTATTTCATAATGAAGGGACTTTTGAAATAATTTAAAATGAAAATAAAGGTAAAATTCTTTTGAATTATGAAATAATTGCTGAATTATTTTTTATCTCATACTGATACACAAAATCAATACAAAAGTAAAAACTTTTTCGGTCATGCATGGAAAAAGTTAATACTGTAGATCACTATTGATCAATTTTCGCGACGCCTTTTATTTGCAAGGCAGAGACGAACTCTTTCTTAACAAGAAATCTCTAAAAAATCTTTAGATTTACTAATAAACACGAGAATGATTTGTCGCCAGCATACTGTCTTGCCTAACACATGGTCTTTCGAGCTATTCAGATTTTTAACTTGTCTATTTTAAGCAAACTAAGCTTTACTCGTGCCTGTATTTGATATAATGAAATTTCATATCATTTTTAGAAATATAATCTGAAAACTTTATTAGCCGAAAGTTTGTTAAATCTGGAATTAGTTGTCAGAAGAATGCAAACGTTTTACTTTTCGCAGTACAGTTAAGGTGCGCAATGGAAAAATCGACTAAATTTTGCATTTAAAAATGTATTCGTAATCGGGATGGCGATTATTTTTAGTATATTACTTATATCGGATAATTGTAATCATGATTAATAAGTACATATCGAGGACGATTATATTTTGTATTTAAACTAGTCACGTGATGCGGCAGTCACGCGATTTTAGCACATTGACTTGAAGTATTGATGTCACATATCAATATCACTAGTGCAAGGGCATAACCAAGTTAAATTTCCAAGTTTAGTATATAAATATTTTTAACACGCATTGTAGTTTCTAAAAAGTGCTGCGATCCTGTCTAAATTCTGCAATTTCATTGTTAAAATTATACTTGTATGACCGAATGCTATATTTTTTCCTGGTCAGCAGCATGAAATATTGATATAATTAAATTGTTTTTAAGATTTCATCAGGATCGCAGCATTTTTCAGATACCTTAATAGTTCTATAGTTGAAATGTGAAAGCTTACTTTGATCCATAGAGTGTATGCCCTTGCACTAGATCGATTTATTAAGACCCCCATATTACCCTCTGATGTACTTGCATATAAATATACGGCAGTGTCAATTAAATACGTTATGTACAGAAAATATATTAATAAAATAGTGAAGAAGACATTAAATTCAAGATATTGGCCCATCGAATATCTGTAAATAATCTTTTATTTAATTAGAGAATACATATTTTGTTGAGAAAATATTACTTGATCTGTCTCTCACTGCATACAAACTACGTCACGTTGTAAGAAATGACGTCATATTGACAAGTGTATTGCGATCAGTGACTTGTTTATAACTTGTTATGTGGGATTTAACTAACGACAAAACAACACGCTGTAGTAAGTTTTTATGTAGTTTGATGATTTCTTACTGGTAAAATTAGCAGATGAACTTATTTTGTGGTATTTTAAAGAAATGTTGTATGACGTATATTGTGTATGATGTCATAGTCAAGTTTTTCCGTACAAATTAGGCTCCGCCTCCTTTTTGTAACCTTAACTGTGCTGCGTTTTGTATTTATGGAGTCAAAGATGTATCTTAAATAATATTGATTCTGCAAGATTCCATTTAATTCGATACAGTGCTAGTACATATGGGTTTTTTATAGAGTGAAATTTTTCCTTAAACGTTTACCGTCAGTAATTTTTTTATCTCACCTTCTTCTCGAACATGTATCTTCATATTTTTTATATCAGTATTCTGTCATTTTGACTTAAACTTTGTTATTATAGGTAAATGCCTTATTTTGTCTTAAAGCAGATAAATAGATGATGAAAACATATTCTGTCTTCCTGCTCGGTTACATGTAAATAATTCAATAGAATAGTCGTACTGTAACTCTACTTAACTTTAAAGGCAGTGCCCATATCATAACAAACAGAATTTAAGTATTTGAAAAAAAAATACATGAAAAAAGTATTGCCAACAGGGAACGAAAGGATAGAAAACTGAAAGTGTATATTTAATAAACAATTAATTTTAACTTTATAATTCGAACATGGATAGGTGGGAACAATTTTAATGTCACAATCACTTTTATTCAAGTATTTTACATTTGATAATTTAATTTCTGGGATAGTTCAAGTTTATTTTTGGTAATAATCGAGTTTGGAATAAAGAGGTTCTACTGTACATATATGCTTATCCTTATTAAATCACTGTATCATAATTAGGGTAAACATATATATTTCTATAAACTTTGTTTCATTCCGATATTATATCAAGAGACTGGACGAATTTAATCTATTTCGACCACTTTGCAATACATTAGTTAATTAGCCTTGATAAAAAAAAATTCCGGTAGTCAATTGGTATGCAATAAGTAAAGATTTTTTTTAGAAACACTTGACTTGTAAGAGAGATGCTTTTAGATGAATGCTTTAATAATAATATAACAGGCGTGCTCCCAGATAGCAGGATGCTTTGGACCTTTGTTGGGCCAACAATGCTCCTTATGTTGGGCCACCGCATGCATTCAACATTGGGCCATCGGTAATTTGCTCATCGGCCCTTAATCTATCCAACTTGTTGGCTTATTGTTTGGTCGATGTAACAGTTAATATTGGGCCACTGTTGGGCCAATGTATTCTTTCAATGTTGGGCAAACGTCATTTTTTTTTACAGTTGGGCCACTGTAAGCAATTAATGTTGGGCCGACGGTAATTTGCTCATCGGCCCTTAATCATTCCAACTTGTTGGCTTATTGTTGGACCAACGAACGGATATTATTGAGCCATTGTGGGGCCACTTATTCTTTCAATATTAGGCAAACACCATTTTTGGACCAACGTTGGTTTGTATCTTATTGGCTCTCCATCATGACAACTCATTTGCTCTTCACTGGCTGGCCATTTGTCCTCCAAATTGAATAACAAACTATATATAATAAGGTTATAGTAGTTTTGTAGTACAGTTTAATGGTAATGCTAGATTAATAGTTTAATACATATTCACAATATCTCATAGAATTACCATCAAGAAGTATTGCATTGTAAGTAGCTCTACATTAATTTAAAAAAGAACTGAGGAAAAAGAAATCATAATATAAAATTACATTATAACATACTAATATTTTATTGCTCAATGACCGGTCACGGTAGATTAGTGGTAGAGCGTTCGCTTCGTGATCGGGAGGCCCGGGTTCGATTCTCGATCGCGGCGCCGCGTCATACCTAAGACGTAAACATAGGTAGTGATTGTTCCTTCGCCAAGCGCTCGGCACTAGAAGTAAAAGTTAAGGGTCTTTCGAATGTGACTTTAAAAACGTAGGTCCCGTGTCACGGTAGGCGTTGGCACGATAAAGACCCCTCACTGCTCAATGGCCCTGAGTGCCGAGTATAGGTCTAAATTTGAAGCCCTTCACCGGCATCGGTGACGTCTCCATATGAGTGAAAAATTCTCAAGAGGGACGTTAAACAATATACAATCAATCAATCAATATTGCTCAATGCATGAAGAAAACATTAATAAAGAACAAAAAGTTGATGCTCACTTGAAGCGATGCATGTAGGGTTACATGACTGTACATATGCTCCCTCTCTGATGTAAATTTATGCACAAGTTCAGTAAACTGCAGATATCAATAAGCACGTCTTAAAATAAAGAAAGCCCTCCTGTCCTTAAAATAATGCTAAAATGAATCCCGCAATTTTGTTTACTTACACGAAAAATGTTGCTGGCATCTGCATCATGTTTGTTACCGACAAACACCCACAGAAAGGAGAGAACAACAGGTATGCCACAGTATATAACAGAAAAAGTTAGGCACTGCCACGTTTATTCAATCTGATCCCTCTCCTAAGTCTGCTCTTCTCTCTACAGAGT